AACAGTAACCAGATGCTTTTTCAAAAAAAAGCTATTTTTCTCCTAAACCCTCTATATTCTTTTACAACTTTCCTTCATTTAGTTTCTTATGCCTGAAATCTTTTGCCTAACCTGTAGTTAAAAGACACGTCTACACTCAATCTTTAATACATTCTTAAAATTAAATTGTTCCTGAAATTCTCCAAGCAGTTAATGACAGATTTCTCTATATTTCCTTGGCCTTAAATTTATATACTTACCACAAGAGGTATCTTCTATATGTGTGAATTCATAGTCAGTAAATGCTCACTGAATATTTATTGAATGTGTGTATTTATTTACAGCTAAATCTCTCCTCACTGCTGAAATCACAATCTCAAACAACAGCCCCCAAATCCCTCCCTCTGACCTGCTTGATTCCTCTGTCTTCTACTTCCTGATCCCATTTGATCTCCTAGATTTGTCCTGTGACTTCTGGGATCATCCAAAAGAACTTCATGATTTCACAGTTTATCAATTTCTCCAGCTTTCTGACTTTTCCAGATTCCTTGTTCCTAAGCACCTGATGTAGTAACTTATGTTTCTGCTATAGGACCAGTTCGTGGGTCCCACTAGATCAAGTCTCCTAGGACTAAAGAATAATGTTTGTCAATTAGCATCAGTTTTTACCAATGTCAGTAAGAGGATCCACTGCGTGAGGCAAAGTAAAAATGCTCATTATTCCAAAGGTTTGGCAGTAATAAACAATAAAGCACACTGACTATATATTCTAAGAGATAACAGCAGTGATGTCCATCATATACTTTGCTGAAAACGAAAAATATCCACCAGTGAGAATGAAGGTATATCCATTAGGAGTGATAAGCATCAACTACTCTACTCACTCCTGCTTGATTAGCTCTGCAAACTTATGTCAAAACGATATCATAACTAGCAAATGGCGGCCAAATGGGTCTCAGGACACATACTGATCAATCCATGTTGACCCTGAGCTCCAGTATCGCCACAAGTCCTTACATGTCACATTATGGAGGGCTGGCAATCAGTGGAAGTGTACTGAAAATGGAAACTTGTGAAAACTGTATTGAATCTGAAAACTCTCTTAATGTCTTCTGTGTTTCCTTTACTTTTGAATATTTTTTCAAGAATCACAGCTATTTATTTTAGTAAGTTTTTATATTTATTTCTAATGAAGCCTCTTCTTGACTGATAGCTCCTACTATGATAATCCTGTCTTTAAAACATCACTGAAGTCTAGGTGTGGTATAGTAGAATAAGCACTGGACTGGAAGGTCAGTTTGAACTGAAAGTTTGGTGCTTCAAACTCACCAGTCACTCCTCAAAAACCCTACACAGGGTCACTATATGTCAGAAACAACTCCACAGCACTTAAGCATAACATAACTACTCTGTATTATTGCCTCGGTGACCAAAAACAAACCAAACAACAATAGCAATAAAAATTTACTTATAATTCTGGTTAAAAAAAAAAAACAAAACGTTGAATAAAACGTACACACCAGTTTTTCATAGATCACCTCATGCTTATTTTTTAGGATAAAGTTTTACAGTATAAATCAATAATTCTGTTTAAATTTTTTTGAAAACATGATAAAACTATTGGAAGTAGAAAGTAAGCATATGTTTTTATAGCATCTACCTTTCAACAAAGAAATAGATACTTACCTCAATCTGTGCAGTGTGGTTGGCATAATACTTTAGGGCTTCATCTCCTTCATCTGGGTCCGATCCTGGCTTGAGCATCTGCTGTAGTAGTTTATTGTGACGGGCCAACTAGAGGAAAAAGATAAAGGTTTTAGGGTTTTTTTTCCCCCATTTACTAAGGCCATAGTTTAAAATTACTTGTACACATAGATTCACAGTCCTGATGTTAATGGATATTAATTGCATTTGACGAAAATAAGTCTATTTGAAAAGCATTAAAAAATGAAACCCCAAGAATTAGCTGATATCAGTACATGATTCATACATTTTAATTGTTGATATACATGCTTTTATCATGGGAAGACACATAGTAGAATCTCATGTTTTATTAAATGTATGAGTATGAGTCAAAGATTATCTGCACTCCTGTTTTATTAAAACACTCATCCATATCCACGGCTGATGACAACATTAAGTGTGCATGTGAAATGATTCTGTTGAATAGATAAGTGACATAGAACTATGTGGTAAATCATTTGAGGATCAACCATGGCTCTGCCTATGAAATAATCCACAACAGATTTGGGTTTCAAAAGTTTGTGTGAGATGGCTACCAGAATGAAGAGCATAAGCATAAGTGTTTGAACATTTGCAAACAAAATCTGGACCAATACTTGAAGGCAGGTGAAAGATTCTTTAAAAAAAAATTGTTACTGTGTCAAAATTATCAATCAACAGCATTAATATCACATGCAAGTAAACTTTTGCTGAAGATAATTTTAAATGGTTGCAACAATACATTGACAGGGAGCTGCCAGAAACTCAAGCTGAATTCAGAAGAGGATGTAGAACTAGGGACATTATCACTAATGTCTGGATCTTGGCTAAAAGCAGAGAATACCAGGATGATGTTTGCTTGTGCTTTATTGACTACGCAAAGGTTTTTGACTGTGTGGATCATGACAAGCAAACACTGTGAATGGGTATTCCAGAACAATTGATTGGGCTCATAAGGAATCTGTACATAGACAATTCAAGCAGAACAAGGGGATACCGGTGACATAAAATCAGGAAATGTATCAGGTTTGTATTCTTTCACTCTACTTATTCACTCTGTATGCTGAGCAAATAATCTGAAAAGATGGATTATATGAAGAAGATTGGGGGAAGACTCATTATTAACAATCTGTAATATGCAGATGACACAACTTTGCCTGCTGGAAGTGCAGAGGAGTTAAAATACTTCCTGATGAAGAACAAAGACTGTAATCTTCAGTATGGATTGCACCTTGATGTAAAGAAAACAAAAATCCTCACTACTAGACCAATAAATAACATCATGATAAATGAAGAAAAGATTGAAGTTGTAAAAGACTTCCATTTTGCTCGGATCAACCACCAATACTCATGAAAGCAGCAGTCAAGAAATCAAAGGATGTATTGTATTATGTAAACCTGTTGCACAAGACTTCTTTATAGTGTTTAAGATCCCAGTTTGAGGACTAAGGTGCTTCTGACCCGAGCCATGGTATTTTCAATCAATTCACATGCGTGTGAAAGTTCGACAATGAATAAGGAAGACCATAGAAGAATTGATGCATTTGAGTTATGGTGTAGGAGAAGAACATTGAAAGTACTGTGGACTGCCAGAAGATCAAATTGAATCTGTGTTGGAAGAAGTACAGCCAGAATGCTCCTTAGAAGTCAGCATGGTGAGACTTCGTCTCTCATACTTAGGACATATTATCAGGAGAGACCAGTCCCTGGAGGACATCATGCTTGGTAAAGTGGAGGGTCAGTGAAAAAGAGGAAGACTTCCACAAGACAGATTGGCACTGGGCTCAAACATAACAGCTATGAGGAATGTGCAGACCTGATAGTGTTCTGTTGTGTTGTGCATAGGGTTACTATGAGTCAGAACTGATGGGACACCACCTAACAACAGTAATGATAATGTAAAATCGTACAACCACTCTGGAAGAGAGTTTGTCGATTTCTTACAAAATTAAATATACTCATGATTTTAAAAAAACAACGAATTTTTACTGACGATGAGACATGGATTCATCACTATGAGCCTGAGAGTAAATGGCAGAGTATGGAATGCAAAAATCCTAAATTGCCGACCAAGAAAAAGTTCAAAAGTCAACCTTCAGCTGGAAAACTGATGCTAACTGTGAGATTAGCAGCCTGATTCATAACCAATATGCTACCAGAGCTCCTTACATTAAAAAAAGTGATGCATTTGTCTTTGCTAAAAGTTGATTAAAAGAAATTCTACAGCCAGAGTGTAGATAATTTTTGACTCACTCTCCTGTACCTTCAGTAATGTAAAATACATCAATGACACTCCCTGTAATAAATTTAAACTGCTTACAACATATTTAAAAAACATTAACAATAATATGGTATCTTAGGGTGTAGCAGTACCAATATAAATGGTAGCTCCCTTGTTGTTGTTGTTAAGTGTCGTCGAGTCGGTTCCGACCCATAGCGACCCTGTACAGGGTTTCCGAGGGTGTAAATCCTTACTGGAGTAGAAAGCCTCATCTTACTCCCACGGAGCGGCTGGTAGTTTCGAACCGCTGACAAGGTTCACAGCCCGATTCGTAACCACTACACTACCAGAGCTCCCTAGGTACATTTAAATAGGTAGCTATATTTCAGAAGGGAATCCTGGTGTGGCGCTGTGGATAAATGCACCAAACTGCAAAGCCATTTGAACTGCAAGGTCGGTGGTTCAAGCTCACCAGCCATTCCTCAGAAACCCTATACAGGGTCGTTATGGGTCGGAACCAACTTGATGGCACTTAACAACAACATACTTCAGAAGGAGTCCTAGAGTGGTGCTGTGGATTAATGTGCAGGACTGTACAGTTGGCTAGAATTGCAAGGTTAGCAGTTCAAGCTCAGTAGCTGCTACCTGAAAACTCCAAATAGGGTCGCTATGTGTCGGAACCTCCTTAACGGCACTTAACAACAATAACATACTTCAGAAGTACTCCTGGTGTGGTGCTGCGGGTTAATGTACTGGACTGCAAAGTCGGATTGTACCACAAGGTCAGCAATTCAAGCTCACCAGACACTGCTCGGAAATCCTATACAGGGTCACTATGGATCAGACCCGACCTGACAACACTCAACAATAACAACAACATACTGCAGAAGGGTTTCCCTTATGACATGACTAGTTTGTAGGAAAGTCCTCCATTTCTGCATACGCATATGTCAAAATTGGGGCTTCACAGGTATAGAACTTCGTTTCATTGTAATTGAAAGTGGGCACTTAAAAACCAAAAATTCACCATAAATTATTTAAAATTATTTAAGAATAGTTTGAATAGTTTAAAATAATTTATGGTGAAATGGTGCATTTGTGGCTTGTAGCTCGGCTACAAGCACAAATAGTTTGAATGGTAGGAGTGATCTTTTTCTGTCATTTTATGGTCTATGGTATTTGGTGGTGAATTCTCTCACTTAGTAGAAAATTGATATGCGCTGCCTTGAGATGTCTCTTTTCTGGTTGTCTTAAAGAATTCTGGGAATCTTGTAATGGTATTAACCTTTCCACTATTCTAATTCTATTTATGTTCAAATTCCCTGAGAGCTGGTGATAACACTGACTCTGCCATATAATTATTTTATTCCTAGAACAGTGCCCACTTTTTACTCTGCCAGGCACTTCCTAAGTGCTTTAAGCATGTGGTCTCATTTGATACCCAAGAAATTCTCGGCTAGGCACTCAATTATTCTCATTTTACATTGGAGGAAATTTAGGCATAAAGCGATTAGGGGACTTGTTCACATTAATGTAGCTAGGACACATTAGAGCCAGTATTGAACTCAGCAGTGTGGTTCTAGAATCAGTCATTCTTATCAACATTATGTTGTTGATAAAGTTGGTTCTGCCTCACAGCAACCCTATGTACAATAGATCAAAACATTACTCTGTCCTGCAGCATCCTCACAATTGTTATGTTTGAGTCCATTGGGGCAACTCAATCCATCTTTTTTGAGGGTCTTTCTGTTGTTTTTTTGCTGACTTTCTACTTTACTAAGCATGATTTCCTTTCCCAGGGACTTGTCCTTTCTGATAACATGTCCAAAGTACATGAGACAAAGTCCTACCATCCTCATTTCTAGGGAATATTCTGGCTGTACTTCTTCTAAGATACAGTTGTTTGTCTTTCTGGTTGTTGTTGTTATTGTTGTGTGCTGTGTAATCAGTTCTGACTCATAGCGACCCTGTAGTACAGGGTTTCTGAGGCTGTAAATCTTTATGAGAGCAGAAAGCCTCATCTTTCTCCCGCGTAACAGCTGGTAGTATCGAACTGCTAACCTTAAGGTTCGCAGCCCAATTCGTAACCATTATGCTATCAGAGCTCCTTTGTCTTTCTGGTAGTCCTAGGTATATTCAATAGTCTTCATCAACACCATCATGCAAATTCATAGAGCAATATAAATAAGTGTTCCTATTATTCATGAAGTCTTAATACAAATTGTGATTCTAAAGAATGAAGATAAATTTTAAATAATAATCTAGAACCTATGTACAAGGAATCTCCAGAACTGTTCTTAAGAGTCTTTAAACAGAATTTGTAAGTAAGCTGGAACAAGTACCTAAAGTTCTTACTTTAGTGCAAGAAAAGGTTTGAGGCCTTTTCAAAGATTTAACAGCTGCACATGCAGAAAATGAAGGTGATTATGATGAAGAATTTGTTATTAGTAGGGATTGGTTTTACAGGTTCAAAGTGAGAGAAAATTTACATAACATCAAAGGGCAAGTTAGCATTGTCAGTAAATCAGACATCTGTAGCCTAGGGACTTACTGTAACCAAATGAATATTACCCTTTTAAGTAGTAATTTGGTAAATTAAATATTCATTCCACTGGTATTGTCAATTGTACACATTTTTATTTAAACCGCAGTCATAAAACTTGGCATAACTTGTAGGTTTTTCTAGAAATCTAAATGAGTTTCAAAGGCTGACCTTTAGCATGTTTTTAAAGTGGCTAAAAAGTAGCTAGTTTTTGTAGGAAGGTAAAGCTGACATGGTTGGTTGACTGGTAAAATCTGGATCACGAGAGAAAAATAGGCATTAACAATGATGCAGAGATTCTTGGCTTGT